TTGGACTTCTTCCTTCAGTATCATCGGCTCCTGATCATATGCTACCTTTTGAAATGGCTGAACATCAACTATTTCCTTTTGATACAGTGATTGTGTATTCCATCTTCTTTTGATGCTTTCTGCATCATTGAATAATTTGCCCAGAGCATCCTTCAATAACGAAAGTCGAAGCTTGAATTTTTCTCCAGTTCCCCCAGCTTGAGAAATGCTGAGCGTGTTCTTCCCTTTTGGTTTTCTGCCTCCAGATCTTTGCACATTTTGTTGTAATATTTGGCTTCGTCTTCTTGAGCTGACAATTTCCAATTTTCCTAGATTCATACTTCATACATTCCATGTTTCAATTTTCAATGGATGTTACAGCTGTTTCTCTTCATTTTGAGTTGTGCCCCATCAGTAAATGAAGGTCCCACGGGCTTTTTTTCCCACGGGCTTTACTCCATTAGTGTCATCACGGTCAACTCTACTCTGAGGAGGCAGCTCTTCCCCAGTCGCATTTTGAGTGCTTTCCAACCCAAGAGGCTCATTTTCCATCACCATATCTGACAGTGTTTCTCTGCTATTCATAAGGTTTTCCGTGACTAAATATTCGGAAGTAGTTCATCAGTCCTTCTTCTTAGTGTGTCTTCGTCTGGAAGCTCATTTGAAACCTGTCCACCATGGGTGACCCTGCTGGTATTTAAAATTCCAGAGGCATAGCTTCCAGAATCACAGCAACTCACAAGCCACCACAGTGCCACAAACTGACAGAGAGGTGACCTAGATAATAACAACTTATGAAACATGGATGCATTAGATAATAGGGTGCTTCTTCCAAATAGTCCAGCTCCATCTACTAAGCGTCTTATTGTCAGTTTCTTTGCTCTTGTTTGGAACTTTCAGTCTACCATGTCATCAGCTCGTCTCAGAGGCAGTGAGAAATGCGGGGTATTTTGTAGCCCCATCGGTCTGACACACCATTGCCCTATATTACCTAGAGTTGGGAGGACTGGACCCAGCTGGAGTCTTGGGGTTGGCCATTTTAGAGAATCTGTTACCCACAGGCCACCTTTTTACTCTGATGTTGCATGAAGACCCTGTAAGAAAAAGACATTACTCCATGTCTGTATTACCTAGTAAATTTACCTGGCTAAGCAATTTACTGACTATTGTACACAGTCTCATTTGTGAAGAGTGCTACAGGTCACCTAAGCTTTGAGTCTCAGTTGTTTATTATGCTTTTTGGGGATAAAGTAATTTAGTCTTGAGATGCCTAATGATACCTTGGGCATGAACTAAACACATAGCATGTTGTGTCTTTTGACTTAATTACACGATTCAGAGTGTTAACCTAATGAAATGGAGTAAATGAGCTGAGTATCTTAAGTCCACTATAATGGCCTAAACTTTGACTTTTTTGTAACAGATTCACATTGAGAAGTATTTAAGTGTTGTAAACCAACACGTGTTAACGACTCCTGTTACTGATGAGAGCTTAGCTTCTCCTCGGGCATCCAAATGGTAAGTAAAATTGCCATTTTAGAGCTCAAAGTAAATACTATAAAAAATAACTTTTCCGACTCAGGTAAGATGATTCTAAAGGCAGCATTTTCTTGGCTCTGTTCACATCTGCTGTACTAATATCAGTGGAAATTTTGCATCAGAACTTAATAACAGACTTTGGACTTTAATAAAATTTACTCTGGGTTGCTTCTTTCTGGCAAGTTCTAATGCAGTACATTATGATAATTATCTCAGGGTCTTGGGTTTTTTACCCTTTTTATTTCTCAAAGGAAAGATTTTCATGTATATCAGTTGATAAATTTCAGATCGCAATGTGCTTTATTTTGTTTTCAGAATGCCCTATGTGCTTTACTGTAAAGGTGATCTTGGCATCCAGTGTGAACAAAAAATAAAACAAGAATCATAAAGCTTGCTTAAAATATTCTTCATGTACTACATACAGTAAAACCTGTGCATGTTGGAACCCGTGCAAGGCAGAAACCTGTCAGAGAAGAAAAAACTCAAATATTTTCCACCAAAATGAGTGATGGAAAAGCAGTAAGACTATACATTCTGTCCAAAGGCAGAAAACTTGGGAGACCTGGAAAAACAAGACAGTCCCATCGAGTTTTGGCTTTACAGTTTTCATTGTAGGCCCTAACCGATGATTTATTAGAATTAGAGTTGAATTAGGAAGAAGTGACCCTGGGCCTACATCATGTCTGTCCCCTCTCCCCCTACATGAAGGTGGTATTGTTGTTGTTAAGTGCTGTTGAGTCGATTCTGACCCATAGCGACCCGATACAGGGTTTCTGAGGCTGTAAATACTTATAGGAGCAGAAAGCCTCATCTTTCTCCCACGGAACAGCTTGTAGTTTCAAACTGCTGACCTTAAGATTCGCAGCCTGATTCGCAACCACTATGCTACCAGAGCTGCTTAGTACACAAATGTCCATCATCTCTTGGTGCATACACAATCCTTCCCTGGTCTCCTCATTTTGATCTGGGATAAATAAACTTGTGTCTTGGGCTACTGTCTCTCATTGCAGTTCCATTCCCACTGCCCAGAAGGCACTTATCTATTGTATTACTTATCTATTGCTGTGTAACAAATTACCCAACACTTAGTGTTTTAGAACAATAAACATTATCTCACAGTTTCTGTAGGTCAGGAATCTGAGAGTGATTCAGCTAAGTAACTCTAGGTCAGCGTCTCTCACAGTTGCCTCCTGGGACAGTCTCATCCAAAAGCTGGACTGCAGGATGGGAAGCTAACTCTCATACAACTGGCCAGCCTTCGTTCTTTGCCATATGGGTACGTCTCTTTTAGGCTGCTTGCGTATTTTCACAGTATGACAGCTAGTGGTACAAGACAGATCCAGAGTGTGAAAGAAAGCATTCCAGACAGAAACCATAGTCTTTTTTTCAAACCTAAGTTCAGCAACAGCATCCCATTACTTCAGCTGAATTATGTTAATTAGAAGTCATTCACTAGGTACAGCCCACACTCACGGGGAAGGGACTACACATGGCATGAACACCAGGGGAGGGAGATCATTGCGACCCCCTTGGAGGAGGCACTCTTCCACTTATTTTAAGCCATTTTCAAACCACTTCTGAATTTGCATAGCATTCACTCTCTCTATAACTTCTTTGTTGTACATCAGTTCCTGCCTTATGTTACTAGCTTCTTGTTCACAGTCCATAAGGGCAGCGACCAAGTCTGATGCTTTTCAGTAGTCCCAATTTACCACAGTTTCTTGCACATGGTGGTGGTCACAGGAGAAAGATGAGGCTTTCTGCTCCCATGAAGATTTACAGCCTCGGAAACCCTGTACAAGGTCACTCTGAGTGGAAATGGACTCACTGGCACACAACCACCACCACCACCACCACCACCACCATCTTCTAGCACATGACTGGTGCTCTGTGGGAGTCAAAAGAAGGTCTCTGTCTCCAGGTCCGTAGAGTCTAGTGGGAGACCTTTGGTAGGAGTAAACATGTCAGCCCTGCTATTTTCTTGGTTCTCATTTATGCCTGTTATTATTATTGTCAAAATACAGTGCATTTCTTTATGCAGAAACTTTTTAAGACAACTGTCAATTTTTTTTCAAATTTAGTTGAGTTAAAACTAAATAATATAATCCATAAAAACCACTGCCAGACACGTAGTATGTTCTAGTCCTCTGAAACAAATGACCCAGTACTGGCCATACTGTTCAGCCCTTTGTGGTGTGGAGTGTCCACTCTCAGGGTGCCTCCAGAACTGTGGGTGACGCGATCAAGAGAGGGCTCAGTGACCATCTGCATATGAAATCGCTGTTAGGTGCTGTCCAGTCGGTGCCTTTGTGACAGAGGAGAACTGCCCCACAAGGTTCTCTTGGTGGTAACCTTTATAGGAGCACATCACCAGATCTTTTCTCCCACAGAGCCTTTGGTGAATTCCAACCACCAACCTTTGGGCTAGCAACCAAGCACTTAATCATTGTGCCACCAGGGCTCCTTTCATATTAATAGTAGTAGATCGTTCGCCTGAATTCTTATTATCTGTTTATTCTTTGGTACAGTTCCCATTTTATATAAATAGAAGCTCTCATACTTTTTTCTCATATCCAAGTGTGTAATCTTATGTATTGCCTTGGATGTGGGCTCCCTATTTGAGAGCTCACAGGTCTAGCATGATGGTTCTCAATCTCTGTTTTCAGTTCTCTTCACATAGAGTCCTGGATGATTCTTATGCAGCTCATCTGTGCTTAGACTCCGTGGGACAAGCACAACCCCTTGGACACAATATTCTTTTGATCACACAGGAGGGTCTGCCTGTGTATTATCAGAAGCTTGGTACTGGAATGGGAGTCAGCCTCTTGCACTAGGATTGAACCAGGGGTGGGAGCTGGCCCTCAGACTGGCAGGCACTTCCAGTGTCTGTACAGACTGTGAGGCTGATGGAGTATCAGACGCGAAAAGTCCCAGGGCAGCAACTTTTTCTGAACAAGGAGGTGTGTAATAAGGAAGGTAGATCTCCTCCTCTGAGTAGCTAAGAATCAACTTTCTTTAAATGTATGGGGATTCACATTATGGAAACCCAGGAAAGGCAGGAGGAATTCTTTCAAATGAGGCCTAGCCCTGGATACACCTTTAAAAATAATTTAGAACAAATACACAGAACTCACCCTCCTCCTTATTGGCATGATCTGCTCTTTGTCAATATTTTCATAACACAAGAGTTTGCAAAGAACCTTATTTTCATCTATAAAGATTTACCCTTTGCCTTTTGCATTTGTGGGAACTGAGGTGCAGAGAGGTTAAGATCACACAGATGGTCAAGGATGCAGCCCTGATTCAAGCTCTGGTTAAAAGTCTGCAGTCTCCTACTCTTCCATCCCTTCTTCTTGTTAAGTGCTATCGCGTCAGTTCTGATTCATAGTAATCCTGTATGGAGTTTACAAGGAGTAGGGTTTGAACTGCTGCCCTTGTGGTTAACAGTCCAGTACTTATCCTACAGAGCTACACCAGGGCTCCCTGTTGTTATTGTTATGTGCTGTCGAGTCGGTTCCCACTCACAGCGACCCTGCATAGAGTTTCTGAGGAGAAGCTGGTACGTTTGATCTGCCGACCTTGAGATTCAAACCCACCTTGAGGTTGAGTGCTTATTCTCTGGCGCCACACCACATGGCTTTCCTGTTTAATAAGTATTGTTCCAGGGAAAATCCAGTAGTTTTGTCTAATAGAGACAAAACCCCAGCAGGTACATAAATAATAATGTTGTTGCTGTTAAGTGCCTTCGAGTCAGTTCAGACTTATAGTGACCCTGTATAAGGTTCTGAAGGAACAGCTGGTGAGTTTGAACCTCCAACCTTGTGCTTCAAACTGACCTTGCAGTCCAATTCTTTATCCCACAGTGCCAAACTGCAAATGCAAGACTTTCCACAAAGCCATTCAAACCCAAAGACCATGACATTATCAAAATGGCATGTTTTCTCCAAAGAACTCAAAGTACTTTCACATTGTTTTCAAAATAGGTTTGTGAAGTCAAGGCGTGTAGATAGTATCAATCCCACTTTGGCAGTGATTCTTCTCCAGTGTCCAAATGTGGCTCTTCCCCTATCATCGTTGGCTTTCCTGGATCTTATTGCCAGTGATACCTGCTCACACTGTTCTTAAGGACCAAGCTTTGCTTCCTGATGCTAGGAGGGTGACTGCCATCTGTATCTCCACTATCAGAACCGCCCAGAAGTTTTCATTCCTATTCAGTTGTACTGGTATTTAAAAGACAGACAATTAAGAACACAGGAAATAAATAATAGTGAGAAGCGGGGAGAGAGAAAGAAAAGGTTTCTGTTAAGTGAGGAATAAAAGTGAAAAATTACATTTTTTTCTCAATTATTGAAGCATCTTGAGTCCAATCTATCCTGGACAGTTGCAGTGCAGTACACACGTACAAATAACATGGAATGAAACATATGCTGGTCACTAAAACAAGAGCACTGGTAGGGCTGTTGGTTAGGCATTGATTGGGCTGCTTACCAAAAACCCTTCCCCGGGAGAGAGATGAGGCTCTCTGTTCCCATAAAGAGTTACAGTCTCAGAAACTCTATGGAGTTGGAATCAACTCAATAGCAGTGAGTTTTATTATTTTTTTTCCACCACAAAGAGAGATGAAACACAGGTAATGTTACCATTTGATAATCTAGGTTAGGAATATCAGTATATGCTCTGTTCTTTGCATTTTTTCTGTGGGTTTGAATTTCTTTCCAACAAGAAAAATAGTTTTAGAAAATGCATTAGAACTGCCAACAATTTAACTGTTAGTGTCTATTTGTTTGGAGCAAAGGAGAAAAAAGAAAACCAAAATACTCAAAGAAGAAACTAGTCTACATGACTAAAAGTTTATGGCCTCATCTGCCCTGGGACCAGAAGAACTAGATGGTGCCCGGCCATCACTACCTACTATTCTGTTCAGAGTCACACTAGATGGGTCCTGGTAAATGGGAGAAAAGTGTGGAGCAGAACCTCAA